ATAAGGATCTACATATAACCTCCTCCCTGGGGGACAGACAACAGAACAGTGGGTGAAAGGAGATGTCGAACAGGGCAAGATATGACAAAATAATTTATAAATTTTCAAGGTTTCATGAGGGAGGGGGTAGCAGGGAGGGAGGGGAAAAAACTAGGAGCTGATGCCAGGGTCTTAGGTTGAGAGCAAATGTTTTGAGAATGATGAGGGCAATGAATGTTCTAATGTGCTTTACACAATTGATGTATGTATGGACTGTGATAAGAGTTGTATGAGCCCCTAATAAAATGATTTTTTTTAAAGTCATCAGGGAGGCAGCATTTACCATTTCTTTTCTTATTCTGCAATTCACACATTGACCTTATCTTGAAAAACTAAGTTTATTTCCCTAATCCCTAGGCATTCAACTAGACAAATCCATCAGTCAATGCTATGAAAATAGCTAGCACACCTCTCCCTTCTAGATAGGTAGGCTATTCTAATTCTGCAGAAAGGTGCTCTCCACCCATTTGAAATGGTGCAAGAAAGAAGATAAAGGATCCCCATTAAACACGGAGAACTCTGTTTAAAATGAGTTACAGAACTGAATCCTGTGTCCATTCCCAAGGCATAGTGAGTATTTTATCCTGGCTCTCTCTCAGGAAGTGATGGTGGTAGAGGTGTGTCCCCAAGTCTTTTTCTCACTATGCAAACTAAATATGCATAAATGAGCCACCCCTCTCTAAAATCAGGAACATACTGCTGTTATATATTGGTGTGTAGTTTGGAATGAGAAGAAATGTAGCCCAGCACCTCCCCCCAAAATAAAGAAACCCGAGGATAATCCAAAAATTCATCCTAAATTTATATTAAAAAAAAATTTTAATCCTTTGTTTTATTTAGTACTTTTCACAAGAGCTTGAGCTGCAGAGATTAAGTTTTTATGTAAACAAAAGAATAGACTTACATTCTGTGAAAAACAAAATGGGCTGCAGATTGGATTTTATTTCATAATTCAGAGAAGTTATTTTAAAAAGTCCCTTTGACCACTTGATGTCAAAAACATGTTTCCCTTAATAATAACAATTTATTGCTCAGCTACCTTTGAGGAACAAGAAGTTCCCTTTTAGAACAATTTCCAAATAGCTGAAACTCTTCTTGAACCAAAACACCATTTATTTTCATTATATTTTAATAGGAGTCTTTCTAAAATATTGTAATCATCCTTTCTTCATAAACAGTGGGTTTTGACCAGCTAGTAATAAGTTGGGGCACTTTCATTAGCATATGCTTCAGCATTCTGGGAATGGAACACCGAGTTCTTCTGCAAGGACTCTCCTTCTCTTTCGGCCACGGGCTGTCTGTTCTCAGCCCTTTCATTTGTACTTGTCTATAACCCTGGTGGCGTAATGGTTACAAGTTGGGTTGTGATCCAAAGAGTCAGCAGTGTGAAGCCCCCTGCAGCTCCGAGGGAGAAAGACCGGGCTTTCTACTCCCATAAATAGTTACAGTCTTGGAAACTCACCGAGCAGTCCCACCCTGTCCTACAGGGTCACAGTGAGTCAGCATCGACTCACAGCAGTGAGATAAGGGCTCTCACGCCTCTCCAGTTTTCTCTGCTGTCTTGTTTGAAGGTGAAAGCCCAAATCCTCTTGTTTGCTATGCCAACCTTTATGTCAAATGTCACACAAATGGAGAATACTGGCCAGTCTATTTGCTTCCCAGGCTTCTCTGCAGATTCAGAAGCAGCTGAAATGCTGGTTTTTCCACTGCACTTGGAAAATGCAGCTTCTTTCTCCTTTACCTTGCCTTTAGAGACATCCGGTGGCCTTAAAGACCTTCTTCCTCTGTGTTTGTGTTTGTTTGTTTCTGCTTTAGCATCTTGCTAAGGCATTTGTTATGTGTGTCTCCTGCTCTAGAGCAATACTTGCAGACACCTGGAAACCATCACTGTATAACCTGGATCTTACATATTACTCATCACTCAAATAAAAGTTCCAAATATGTTCACAATTGATTTAGAAAAAAAAGTAGTATGTGAGTAAATCTCAGGAAATAAAATGCAAATGTTATTGGGTAGCTGTCCCAGGGGCACAGAGAACTATTTAGCTTATTTTCAGGCTGAAATTGCAGTTTTCCTAAGAAAGGTAGGAAGGCTATTAATGGAATTATCTTCGGAGATTCAAGAGTAGGACATGAGAGACAAGAGGGTAAATAAGGGGGGAATTCCTATCAAAATGGGGTGGCCTGAAGAAAAAGGAATACCATCATCTCCATAAATGCAGGAAAAACATATTTGACAAACTTCACTATCCATTCATTATCAAAATGAGCAACAGAAAAATACAAAAAGACCATCATGGAACCACGAATGGAAAAGAACTTCTTCAGTGCATTACCCGGGTCTTGCAAGAGCCAAAAGCTAAGGTCATGCTTAACAGTGGAGCAGCCTGTGTTTTTTCTCTGAGGTTGGGAGCAAGGCAACGAGATCTGCACTCGTCAGTCTTATTTTACATTGTGGTTCTGGAGGTTGTAACCAGTCGAGCAAAGGGGATAAAAAAAGAAGAAGTAAATATGGTTTGGAAAGATATCAAATCCAAGGAACGTACAGGAAAAACTCCTAACACAAATAGGTGAGTTTAGCAAGCTTCCTTAGTAATTGGTTACCAGACTTTAAAATATATATTATTTATAATAGTAACACAAAACACTTGCGTACAAGAAAAAAGCACTAAGGGCAGGGTCTGAAGGCTGAAAACGCTAAAACGCTGATGAAATAAAAGACAACCTAAATAAGAGTTGTGCTCATAGATGTCTTATGTTCACAGATTGAAAGACTCCGTGTTGTCAATTCTCCTAAACTTGATCTGCAGAGGAAGAATCATCCCAGGCTGGACTTGCAGCAGGATTTTTGTTCACATTGACAAGAAGAAGAAAAACAAAGTTGAGAGATGCATAGTACCAAATCTCAAGACTCACTCTAAACACACAATAAGCGCAGCAATGCAGTGTTGGTGGAAGAACAGGCATATAGATCAATAGATTACAACTAAAAGCACAGAGATAATCCCTCACCAATCAACTGATTTTGACAAAGATGATACCCATGAAGAAAAGATAGTATATTCAACAAATTGTAGTGGAAAATTTTGAATACTTATGCACCGAAAATGAACCTATACAAAAACTGTACTATTTCCACACAAAAAAATGACTCAAAGTGAGTAATGTATGTACATAAAATTAAACAATATATATAAACTAAAACAACAAACTTTCTAGGAAAAAAAATCTACGTGACCTTGGGTTTGATGTGCTTTCAGATACAACACCAAAATGTAATCCATGAAAGAAAATATTTATTGGTCAGTGGGACGCTCTTGAAATGAAAAACTTCCACTCTGAGAAAAATTGCTGTTATGTGACAAAACAAGTCCTTGACTGGATAAAAGTATGTGTAAATCATATATCAAATAAACAGCTTCACTCCAAAATACACTGAATATTGAACCCTAACAAGTCAACAATCAGCAGGGGATGTGATGCATCATTGAATGTAGAACTGATCATGTGCTCTGTAAACCACCTAATCCACGTGAAAATAAAAGCAAAAGGCAACTCAACAATAAACAAGGAGACAACCCAGCTTAAAAATGAGCAAAAGATCAGCATACACACCTCACCAAAGCAAATATACAGATGGCAAATAACCATATGAAAGGATGCTCTGCATCATTTGCCACGTGGGCAAATTAAACAACAGTGAGATATCAACCCATAGCTATCACAAACCGAAACCAAACTCACACCATGAACACAATGCAGACACTTTGCGACCCTGCAGGACAGAGTAGAAGTGCCCCCTGTGAGTTTCCTGAGACTGCAACTCTTTACGGGAGTAGAAAGCACTGTCGGTCCAGAAGAGCAGCTGATGGTTTCAAACTGCTGACCTTGCAGTTAGCAGCCCAACCTGTAACCACGAAGCCACTAAAATCATAACAAGTGACGACGTCAATTACTGCAGTTGTTGCTGGAGAGAACAGAAAATGGTACAGACACTTTGGAAGGCAGTTTGCCGTTTTTGTGCAAAATTGAACACAGTGTTACCATATAATCCAGCCATTGAGCTCCCAGGTATTTACCATCTGATTTGAAATCGTATGCCTTCACAAAACTGAGAATGTTTATAGTACATATTCAGAAATTGGAAATAGCGACTAATGTGTCCTTGAATAGGAGAGTGTGCACAAGCAGTGGCACTTCATACAATAAAAGACTGTTTGGCAATTTCAAAGTAAGCTCAAACATGAGCCGGAACTGGGACAATTTAAGAAGGTGGGTAAAAAGAGAGATGCCTCAAGAGGCAGAGGGGTCCAAGAGCAAAGTATTGTTGAGTTCAAAGGCTAACTTTGTACACAGCTTTTGATGTATTTTCCTACAAAGTTTTAAAGAATAGAAACAATTATCGGATTAGAAGACACAGTGAGTGCAAATGTACGGCAGTATGGGAGATGATGGAGTGTTCAACCCACTGCAATATTCGATGGGAAATCTTACTCAGAGTTTAGGAAGGAATTCAAGGTTGGAAATATAGACACAGGCATGAAATGAAACGCTTATTACTGTAAAAAATATATATACTTCAAAGACCAGTAGAATGACCTTCTATCTAGATCTCAAGTGCAATAACAAAAACAGAATATACTTTAACTTAGTTTCACATTTTAAGCTGTTGAGAAAGGAAAAAATAATGTGAAGTACCTTTAGATGTCTTGCAACTTCAGGATTAAACAGAGGTGTTTTGATATAATGAAGAAAGAGCGTTGTAATTCTTTTCCTGAGCCCTTCAAGATTGTAAGATTTGACTCCTCTCATCATCAGGTCGACCTCTCTGTCAATCAGTTCTAGAATTTCCTGTGTCAGTTTACATTCATGTTCCTAAAAAGAACACCAAAATGGTACGGAATATTTTTTAAAACACGAACTTTCTAAAATTAACACCCCAAACTAGATTACAGAGGAAATGAAGTAGGAGTAAAGTCGGTACAATTAATTGGGGGGGAGGGGATTTATATTATTTAGTAGCATAGAGACATGTATAATCTGTGAAACAGTAGAGAAATGTGCATATAAAGATATTGTTCACATTAGACAAAAATTAGAAACAGTAGATATCAATAAATACAATGGTTGGATAAATAAATGAGGGCTTAATTGTAAGCAAAGGAATAGTGCCTATCATGTAGAAATAAATGAACCACAGCTATATGCAGTAACAAGCTCGAGTCTTACAAATTTATGTTGAGCAAAAATAGCAGGGCACAAAATAATTCATAGGGCATCGTTGCATTTAAATAAAATTTCAACACTCGGCATTACTAAACCATGTCATATAGAAATGCATTTAGGGATATTAAACTACAGAGAAACAGTCGAGGAAATTAGGGCCATAACAGATAGTATGGAAGTCACTTCTAGAGTAAGTTAAGGGGTGATTAAAAAGTTGTTGTCTTGAGTGGAGGCCCAATTGTCCATCTGCTACCTTAATACTAAACCTATAAATATATACACGTAGATCTATTTCCCCAATGTCATATATAAATATAATTACATATGTACATGCCTGTATTTAGACCTCTATAAATGCCCTTTGTCTCCTAGTTCTTTCCTCTATTTCCTTTGACTTTCCTCTTGTTCCACTATCATGCTCAGCCTTCATTTGGATTTCAGTAATTCCTCTCAGTTACATTGTCCTTGATCAATCCCTGGCCTCTTTCACCCTCCTAACCACTGATTTTGGATCACTTGTTGTTCCCTTGTCCCTGGGTTGGTTAACACCACTTCCTTTCCCCCACTTCCCCTTCTCCCATGTCCCCCCAGAACCATTGGTCCTGTTGTTTGCTCCTCCAGATTGTTCATCCAGTCTATCTTATCTAGATAGACCTGCAGAGATAATAATATGCACATAAATTCAAGACAGAGCAAAAACAAAGCGACATAAGGAAACAAAACAATAGCAACAGCAAAAATAACAATGACCAAAAAAAGAGAGAGAGAAAGAGAAAAGCCTGTAGTTAGTTCAAGGTCTGGTTGTTGACCTTTAGGAATGTTTCCCCGTTGAGTCTGTTGGAGTGCCACGCCCTGACCCCAAAGTCTATTTTTGGTACTCCCTTGGGACTTCCTTGCTCTGTCCCCTAGCTGTTCTGTTGCACACCCTTAGTGTTTTGCCTTGGTGTGGTGGGATCAGATCAGGCACAATTCACACACTGTGTCACCAGTAGGACTATGGGTAAATGAGGGATATCTTGTGTCTCATAGTACTCCCTCAATGCAAGAACACTTTGTTCTATTAAACTGGAATTCCATGATGCTCACCTTCCCGACACGATCACTGAAGACAAATGGGCACATAAGCCAATGTGGTGAAGAAAGCTGATGGTGCCCGGCTATCAAAAGATATAGCATCTGGGGTCTTAAAGGCATGAAGATAAACAAGCGGCCATCTAGCTCAGAAGCAACAAAGCCCACATGGAAGAAGCACACCAGCCTGTGTGATCACAAGGTGTCAAAGGGATTAGGTACCAGGCATCAAGGAACAAAAAAATCATATCATTATGAATGAGGGGGAGTGCAGATTGGGGACCCAAAGCCCATCTGTTGACAACTGGACATCCCCTTACAGATGAAACATACATCTTTCCTCTAGTTCTTAAATGCTTCCTTCCCCCCACACCCCACTATCATGATCCCAAGTCTACCTCATAAATCTGGCTGCACCAGAGGATGCACACTGGTACAGATAGGAGCTGGAAACACAGGGAATCCAGGACAGATGATTCTTTCAGGACCAGTGCTGAGAGTGGCAATACCGGGAGGGTGGGTTATAAAGGGGGAACCGATTACAAGGATCTACACATAACCTCCTCCCTGGGGGATGGACAACAGAAAAGTGGGTGAAGGGAGACATTGCACAGTGTAAGATATGACAAAATAATAATTATTTATAAATTATCAAGGGTTCATGATGGAGAGGGGAGTGGGGATGGAGGGGGAAAAATGAGGAGCTGATACCAAGGGCTCAAGTAGAAATCAAATGTTTTAAGAATGATGATGGCCACAAATCTACAAGTGTGCTTGACACAATGGAAGTATGTATGGCTTATGTTAAGAGTTGTATGAGCCCCCGATAAAATTATTTTTAAAATAAATAAATAAATAATTTAAAAGTTGTTGTCTTTATGATACTAAACTGTATATATTTTATGCATTTTTCTGTATGATCATAAAAGTTCAAAACAGTGCAGGATATGACAACATAAAAATTTGTAAATTATCAAGGGTTCATGAGGGAGGGGGGAGCGGGCAGGGAGGGGGAAAATGAGGATGCCAGGGGCTTAGGTGCACAGCAAATGTTTTGAGAATGATGAGAGCAATGAATGTACAAATGTGCTTTACACAATTGATGTATGTATGGACTGTGATCAGAGTTGTATGAGCCCCTAATGGAATGATTTTTAAAATAATAATAATAATAAGTACCAGAAAGAAAGAAAAAATTCAAAACAACTCCACTTAAGTGAAGGAAATGAGTATGGCTAAATGAGAAAGCTCTATGAGGGTTAAGTCAGGTGGGAGTATTTATAAGTATACAAAAAAAATAAGTCCCTCCACCTGCCCGAGAGGGAACAAGAAGAAATACATGTAGGCTCCCAGAACAGGGTGTTAACAACATTTTCTGTGTGCCACTAGATACATTCATCTCCCATAGAGGCAACTCCCCTACTATCCCTTATGATAACTATTTTCTTGATTCTTCTTTCTAGACTTACTACCTCTGTATATATCTCTAAATAACATGGTTTGATATTGCTTATTTTATTGAGATGAAATGATATTCTATGTATTCATCTGTGCCCTTCTCCTTGAATGAAAGAATCAGAAGTAAAATCATAATTTCCCAGACTTTTTAGAACATCCCTGATTAAGCCAATGCAAGAGCTGCTCCCAAGGCTTATTCCATGAAGCAGTGATCCACGCAGCAGGCAGTGTAGTGGGTTCTGTCATGTGCTACCGCGAATCACCCTCTCCAGGCCTGAAGCACTCACCTCCTCACTCTTCTTATATTGTCTGCTGATCCCTCTGACCTGCATCCCTCTCTGAGAACTGCCCTCCCTGAAGATGGATGCCTCCTCTCTGAGGGCAGTTAGCATCTGAGTTAGTTAATTGTGCCAGCCTGGCCGATAATCACATGTGGTGCTGGTTGAAAGGCGGAGGGATAAATGGGTGGTGAAGCCTCGCCTTTCTAGTTCTCGGGTCTCTTGTTTTGTGATGGTTGCATCGGGTGCAGCTGCCTTAGCAGTTCCCTGCTTCAGCTTGCAAGATTGACTTCCTCCAAGACATCCCCAAGGAGAAGCCGCATGGATCTATCCCGATGCAGCCCTGGGTGCTGGAGCAGCCATGTGGAGACCCCTGCCAGTGCTGAGACGCTTACACATTCACTGACTCAGCTTTCCTCCTGCAGTCGGCATCATTGCCTCTGTTTTGTGAGGTGAAGGACTTTGTGGACTGGTGTTGGGTATGGGTTAATGTTGGACTTGTGGGCTTGGGCAGCATTGGGTTGGGATGTTTTCGTGATGCACATTTTCTTTGCATAAAACTCTCTCTTATACATGAGTGGCTGTGGGTTTGTTTCTCCAAAGTACCTAGACTATTACAGCATCCAATAAACAGTCAATGAGGGGACAGAAAAATCTGCCCCTGGCCTCCGCCTCGTGCCTCAACTCAGGCCAACTTTGTAGGACCTTACTGGTTTCAGAGAGAGACTGGCGGAGGCCCTGGTTGAGACTTTCTATAGTTCAAATTCTCTTCTACCCAGCCCTCCTCACAGAAGTTACTCCAGAGCGTGAGCACTCCCAGAAAACTTCCCGAGAGCAAGCTCCCACACGGCTTTCGGCTTCTATGGAAAGCTGACCTGCAACACCCACTAATTTCCTTTGCATTGAAAAATGCAGACGTGAATAACTGATGCGAAAAAAGGTGAAAAAACGTATACCGATGTTGCTTTAAAAGATGCTAAAATGATTTTTGCATTGAGAAACACCAAAAAATACAGACAGTGGTTGCTGTTTGACTGAATTGAGTTGGGTATTAATCTCATTGTACTCATTCCATAGATCAGGATCTATGCACAAGAGGCTTTGTGCTGTGTTTGCATTTGTAATGTCCCCTAAACTGTGCTTTGGATGCTTTTGCCTACACAGTAATGTATAAACTATATAGCTCCAAAGTTATGTCCCCCAGTAAATAAGAAATGAAAACACAAGTCACAAAATTAACCGACATACCTTCACAGTGTGCTTAAGTGTTAAGAGTATATCCAGCCTCTCATCTTGAGAGATATTTTTCAGCAAAATGCACTCATAGATGCTTTGCAGCTCTCTGGCTCTGATGGTGAACTGCGTATCCATCTCAATTGTTTTGCCCGAACCTGTTTTCCATATCTTTGGAGCTGAGCACTTTAAAACAAAATTAGGTATACAGCTATCAATTAAAGACTAACCAACCATTTTGTTTATTCTAGTCCACATTTACAGAAGATCGTGTTAATGAGCAGAATTATGTGCCTGCATGAAGAAAAGTATCACAGAAATGGAGAGTCTGCAGACATGCAAAACTAAAACCTTTTAGAGAAAAAAAAAATCTGTATTATGCATGAAAGAGCTACTCAATCCATAGGAGTATAAACCCCAATTCAGGATTTCCTCCTGGTTTGTATTAATTGGCATGCTGAATGACTTGATAGATATATAGAATAATTCATTACCCCCATGGAAAGGCGCGTGCTATTTAGAAAGGGTTCAAAATTACCTGCCTGATTCAATTATATTCAGAGAGTGCATGAGTGTGCCTTGCTCATGCCTTGCCAATTAAAGACAACGTGTGGACAATCCTCAATACATTAAATACAGCAAAAAGGTAATCCATGAGTTATGCTTTGATTTCCTATAAAAAGGAATCTCTAGCAAGTTCACAGTTCTTCACAAAGCAGATGTCCTTAGTACTGAAACAGCTACCTGCAGCTATTTTAGCAGTGCTGTGGTCCCTGATTCCCTGATGATGGTAAAGATGCGTGTTTTCTCTTTTAAAATCTGATGTGGTGGCACCCAACCTAACCTACCACCTGAACCAGGGATCACAGAGGGAGCTGGCTTGCCTTGAAGCTCATCTAGAGACTCCCAGGCTAAGAATGCAGACGGGAGATGGAATCCAGGGCCAGGAGGTAGAGTGAGCTCTGGGCAGACTTGGAGACACCAGCACACAACATTGGCAATGGCAGGCCTCTAGTTCCATGGCTTCTCTTCCGTGACACCAAGACTTTAAGACAGATCCGTCACCTACAGACAGCACTGGGAAACGTGCCCTGCGTGCTCCTCAACTTTAGAGTATAGAGTTTCTCACAAGTTTCTTTCTTTGGTCATAGTTTATCAGAAGCAAGGCTCTATGGATCACATTATCATAGGGTGGATTTGTAAGCTGATGGCTAATTGCTTTGGGGATTTGTAGCCCAACGCAATATTTCCAATCATTACAGTCTGAGGGTTAATGTAAATTTTAAAGTGAATCCTTTTGCATCGGAACAAATCCCCAGGAATGTAGACTAGGCATGCTAAGAGTTCAGCTACTAACCAAATGGTTGGTGGTTCAAATCCATCCGGAAGCACCTCCAAAGAAAGACCTGCTGTTCTACTTCTTTGGGGTCATAAAACCAAACCAAAAATGAATCCCACTGCCATCGAGTCAATTCCAACTCATAGCGTTTCCAAGACTCTAAATCCTAAGGAGAGCGGACAGCTTTGTTTTTCTCCCTCAGAGCAGTGTGTGTTGAACCTCCAACCTTACAAGCAGCTGCCTAATGCCTAACCTACACTGAGAAAAACAAAAACCCTGTGCACTGTCCTACTCTGACAGACATGGGGTCTCCATTATTTGAATCAACTCAATGAGGGCTGGGTTTGGGGTTCAGCATCATGAGAGAATTTTTATTTCTAGCAGAAATTTACCTTGAGTTTTTACATTTATTATTAGTTAAATTACATAGAAAACCACAAACGTCCTGCTTTAAAACAACTATATTTTATGGATTTTTAAAGTAATGGCATCATTTTTCGGCTCAAATTCAAAATGAATGTGGTTTAGAGCTATGTAGTTTAGAGCTAGAAACCTTCGTGAGAAACTTCAGATTCTCAGGCCTGGTTTTAATGCAGTAAACGTGAAGCTGAGGCTCCATAATTAATTGATGTTATAAGACAATCAAGTTAATATTAAATAACGTATTATTAATTAATTGGCTAATAAGATTAAATAAAACTTGTTAGGATTGTAAAAATGAAAATTATAAATATCAGTAACAAAACTTCTATTCCATTATTATCATTTAGGAATAAAAAAGCTATGACTTCAAATGGATACACGCTTATTTTATTAATTAAGTGCTTGCTGTGGATTGGCTGCAGAGAATTACCAAAGTCTAATGCTTGTTTTAAAGCTCTTTTAAAAAGAGTTTTAAGGGATAAATCATCTTAGGCTAAGTTTCCTAAAGTATAATTAATGTCTCAATCATTGCATGCAGTTTTCCTTAGGATAGCTCTAGTAAGTGCAATTTTCTTTATTCCAATAATATGGATCAACCAAACTCACTTCCATCTAGTCAATTCTGCCTCAGAGCAGGGCGGAACTGTCCCTGTGGGCTTCTGAGACTCTAAGTCTCTGGGGGAGTAGAAAAGCCACATCTTTCTCCCACAGAGCGACGGGTGGTTTCAAACTGCTCACCTTGCAGTTAGTGGCGCAATGCATAACCACTACACCACCACAGGAGTACCTTTTATTCTGCAGGCTAGTAATTTAGCTCGTTTGTAATAATCCAAGCAATAACATCTTTATGACATATCTAATTCATCAACTTGGCATCTCTTTCTACTGATGAATTGATTTACCTCTACCTTCCCTGAATTTTTTAGTCCCACCCTAACAAGATATAAACAAGACTTTTCCATGTACATCTACATGCAAATCCTTCCCATCCTTCCGGTTGGAACTACTGAAGTTTGAACCAGTGGTATCACTCATGCATAAAACCCCGTTGCACTTGTATTATATAGAAAAACACAAGTATGCGGGATCTCTATTTTAGTTACTCCTTGCAATGAAATGTGGATCCTAGTCATTCTATAGATATTTTAGGTTGGTTAATTCTATTTCCCCAAAATTGTAATAAATCAATCTTTCATGAAGTTCTTCATTGCATCTCGCTGTACTCACTGACTCACTCAACAAATATTTACCAAGTATTTACTGTGCATTAGGCACCAAGGGGACAAAATACTGTCCTGGTGTAAAGAGATCTAAAATCTGATAAGATGGAAAGACAGGAAATTCAGCAACTAAAGCAAAGAATCTCCTGTTCATTGCTTGCAGATAAATTGGCACCTGCGAGTGCTAGGAAGCATTTGGGAGGGATGAGTGAAGAGAGAATACCATCTAAGAGGAAATTCATCAAAGAACTAGGGAAAGCCAGGGTAAAGGGAACTAAGTGATGCAATCAAGGACCCATAGGTCTGAAGTGCCAGGCCCCTGGTGCCTGGACTGAGAAAACGTAAACATAGGCTCAGCAAAGCCGTTTGGGTACTTGGGCCAATGGCTACAACACTGAAAACTAGTCTCCCAGTCTAGGCTGCCGTGGTTGCTGGCATCATGCTGTTTGTCACTCTGATGCAGGAAAACATCCACCTTGCTCCGTTCCCTTTCCTATTCCCGTGTCCTTGAGTGCTCAGGCTGCAAGGAGCGATGGACAACGGCCATGCTCTTACATTGCTTTGGGAAATAGGCGCGTGATAAGTTCCATTTAGCTGCCAACACATGGGGCAGTGCGGCCTCTGGGGGGAGAAACAGAAGAGCGGCAGGGACACACAGAGCCGGGAAGGGAAGGTGCAGCACTCACAAAGAGCTGGCCGGCCAAAGGGATGGACCCAGGGAGAGGGGGGTCTTTGCTCCCCCCTCAATGTATTCTCCAGCTCCCAAAGGCTCAGAGGAAGAATAAGGTTAATCCTCCCAGAGCTACTGGGTGGTGATCAACTTTTCTTGTCCTCCGAGAAAGGCTTTTGTTCTGCCTAGCGGTCACCCCAGCTTAATGCAGAGCTTAGAAGGAGGGGAAGAGTTGGTTACGTTTTCCTACTCCATTAGCTGTGGGCCACCTGAGTATAGAGAAAAAGAAACATTTAAATGGCACAGCTCACGGGCCTCCGGTTTTCAAAGGTTGTGATTGTGAGCTGTGGTGCACGGATCAGAGAGAATCAAAGAAACAAATGGCCTTGCTCTGGGGAATGCCCCCTCCAGAGATTCAAATGGTCTCTCTGCACTGTCTGGGTCAGGGGCACCCCTGACCTAGTTAAAGCTGACTGATGCGCTCTCCTCCCATTTCTTCACCTGAATGTCTGCCCCTCAGTCAGCTGGTGAGTTTTTAACCCTTGAGGTCCTGTGGGAGTCGAGGTTTGATTGGCTAAGGTTAAAATCATCTAGGTAATCCTTCAAAAGCACCAAGTCAGCCCCTTTAAGAACAATGAGAGCTTAGTAAAGAACTCGTCGTGACTAATTCATTCAATGTCTTGTTTAGACTGATCCAAATCGTATCACTCGATATAGTGTTCACAATACGAAGATTTAATCATTAAAAAACCATGTAATGTTTGTACTCCAGGAAATGAAACTGAAAACATGTACACCTTTACTCTTCAAAGTCATTCCCAAATGGTGAGAAAGTAGTAACTCTTTCTCTGCAAGTATCTCTATAACCCAGGCACACTGCCACGGAGTCAATCTGACTCTTAGCCAGCAGACCCCCTGAGACTGTGAAAGTTGACGGGAGTCAACAAACCCAGGCTCTCTCCCTCAAAGCTGCTGGTGTTTTGAACTGCCAGCCATGCAGATCGCAGCTCAACCTATAACCACTACACCACCACACGTCTATAAATACATGTTAAACCAAACCCACTGCCATCGAGTCGATGCCGACTCATAGCGACCCTGTAGGACAGGGTTGAACTGCCCCTGCGTATTTCTAAGACTCCTCTCCTGCACATATCTAGAGTGCTCAAAAAACAAAAAACCAAACCCACTGCCATCAAGTTGATTCAGATTCAAAGGAACCCTATGTAGGGTATCCATGGCCGTAAATCTTTGCAGGAAGGAGCGGAGAGCATCCATCATCCTTATCCCATGGTGAGGATAGTAGGTTTGGACCACTGACCTTGCATTTAGCAGTTCAATGCTTACTCAATCGTGTGTCTCTTCATATCTGTGCTAGAACTCTGCAAGTTTTGATACCTGAAAAACATTTGACTTTATCTATCTTTGGGGATGAATTAGCTGTTATTTTTCTGATCATGAATTTTTTTTCTAGAATTATAGCCTAATTCCATACATTTTACTGATCCTTGTAAATATTGCAGCTAATGGAAGGCAAGGGAGTAGGGACATAAAGAATAGACATTGTGTACATATTTACAACAGAACATTAATTATAAAATCTATTTTTGATGTTTAGTATGGTATCATTTATGCTTAGAATTAAAAAAATTCTTTTAACTCAAAGCCATTGAGTTGATGCCAACTCACAGCGACCCTATAGACGGGGTAGAACTGGCCCCTGTGAGTTTCCAAGACTGTAACTCTTTACAGTGGTAGGAAGCCCCATCTTCCTCCCCTGCTGATTTTGAACTGCCCACGTTGTGGTTAGCAGCCCAACGCATAACCACTATGCCACCAGGGCCTCTGGAGTACAGAAAGATGTGTCAAGATGGTTTGCCTTAGAATAAGAGACCCATCATTTGCTGACTCGTTAGAAGTTGCCGTTTTTAAGGACTAGACTAGTGAGGCCCACGAGGGACCTCACATGTAGTTGTCCCAGTCTCTGGTTGTTTTTCTCTGGCCTAGCACAAGACGTATCTGCAGCTCAGACACAACCCTCTGCAGTCCATTACCTCCAACCTTAGCCTGGCGATCTGAGGTGGACCACCTCATCACAACCCTGAAGTTCCAAAGTCTGTAATCTCCAATAAAGCCATCCCTTTAATGTCGGGCTCGCTGCAGCCTTCCGGGTCCCTACCCAGCCGGCTGGCCCAGCACCTTTGCATGCTCCCCTGCATGGGTCCAGATGCAAAGACTCGTCCTCCTTGTCCAGGCTCCCTCCTCTTGTGCTTCTTTTTCACTTCCTTATAAGCCTGAAGGAGCCCGGGTGGCCCACACCCTCGGATGGCTGCAGCATGGCCGTTGGAACCCACCTCGAGGTGCTGTTGGAGGAAGACTTGGCCGTTGGCTCTCAGAAGGGGCAGCTCTGTTATGTCATATGGGGTCACTGTGAGTCAGGCCTGAATGGATGGCGCCCGACAACATCAACCACCCTCCCAGACAGGCCACTGGGAAGCCGCTGCATGTGGCCCCATGTCCCTTCACAGCATCTCCTCACTCCACTTTCTCTCCGGGCAACCCCCAAATACCTCCGGCCTCCAGGCTCAGAGCAATCCCCTCCACCCACAGGGTCCTGCAGGGGATCAGATTCTACTCCAAATAATTAAGCAATGTTTTTATATAAAAACAAAGCAAAACGGATCCTGCTGCCTCATGAGAATTCTTGTGAACAAGCGTTCCACGTTATGGGAAACCTGCAGGTGTCATTTCGTGCTGGCACCTGGTAGATAAAAGTGATGCGACCTTATTCCTGGCCCTCATTGACCCTCCCTGCCTTCCACTCTTCAGGGACCCTGATGGCGTAGTAAGTTACATGTTTGGCTGCTAACCACAAGGTCAGCGGTTTGAAACCCCCAGTCACTCCGAGGAAGAAAGATGACGTTTTCTACTCCTGTGAAGAGTCTCAGTCTTGGAAACCCACAGGGCAGTTCTACCCGGTAATACGAATCACAGCAGCGAGTTTTGTTTGGGGTTTGGCCTTCCTCTCTCCAACATTGATTGATCCTCTGTGGTGAGCACTATGGCCGGATCTGAGGGTGCAGAGATAGCAGATAGCCCTTGCCTTCAGAAGCTGAGTCTAGGAAGGTTTCAAGACATGTTCACAGACAATGAAAAGTAACCACTAAGTATGACGACAGTGGTGAGACTGGGTCTTTGTGGGAGCAGGCTATGGTTGGTGGTTCAGGGAGTCCTTTCTGAGCCAGGTTTGAAGGTGAGTAACTGGGAAATGGTACAGTCCACGTAACAGCAGCTGCCTTTGAGAGCAATCAGAACACGTGGTCTTTCTTCGGGCATGTCAGTGCTTGGGTGTGGCAGAGCAGTGTGCATCGTGTGCTAGGACAGATGGCAGTGAGATGACCAAGACATGGGTGAGGGCTGCAGAGAGTCGCTCAAGAAAGACCTTCCTTTCTGAGGGCACTGGGAGAGAGGGGTCATTCTGACATCATCCATGCTGTGGCTGATGACGGAGGGGACTGGGAAACGAGATCTGAAGCCAAGGGTCCAATTGGGTGGCATCATGTCACCCACATAAGACAGACATACAGATTCAATGAAGGCTCATGCACACACCAGGCTCACACACACAAGAGCAGCTGAGGCCAGGCCTGCCCCAGGGCAGCCTCCCAGGGAGAGGAGAAGCTGTCCACCCCTTCCTGGTCCAGGAGCATCACAAGACATTCGGCCAAGACTCACATTCACTGTGGGTCAAGTGTCTGCCTGCATGGCCTGTTTGCATGCATGCTAGGTCCCCATGGCACTGCCATTTCCTTATCCCCAGTGATAGTGGGTTTCAGGGGGGTGGGGGGAATGAATGAAATCGTGAAATAATGGAACCAACAGGTTCCAACAGGCTGGATGGAGGAACTGTGTAGAGCAGGAACCTTATGTGAGTGTTGTGGGTGAGGACAATGAGGAGGTGAGATGCTGGCTTAAGGAGTTGACATGTCAATGTGAGGTGCCCTCTTGTGCCATCCAAAGAGCAACAGTCACCGAAAACAAGTGAAGAGGTGAGGCGGAGGCTTCTAAGAAAGGTCTGACCAGGAGCCCCAGGGCACAGGGAGTGGGGAAATTCATTGAACACCCAGCTCTCCAATTGGCAAGAATGTAAGTGTGCTGAGAGGAGGGCACTTCTAGCATCAAAACATGGTTTTTTAAAGGACAAACGTTTTCACCTAATGAGAATCACAAAATCATAATCATGATAGGCTAATCGTCTTTGGAGACTTGCATCTCTTTTCGTTTGGCTGGATTGGCTGCTAATTGTTTGGAAAGATCAGGTTTGTAAAAGAAAGCCGGTCACTATGGTAACGGGCTCTTCGATATTAAACGGGCAGTTTCCCTACAAAAGGGTAATTACGCTCATTTTTCCCCTTAATTGTGTATTTTCATGGTTTTCAATAATCATCGTCCCTTTTGGTCAGAAATCTCCAGTCAATTAATGGCTTGGTGAACAAAGGCAAAAGCGCTGGCTTTTAGCTCATTCCCTAGGTTGCCTACTCGCCAGGCGCCCTGGACACAGCTTCGCGACTTCAACCCCCGGCATGTTTTCAGCGACTATACCAACGGTCCAGCCTCCATCTAACCAACAGTCACAAGACCAGGGTCCCCATCTTTTCCTTCCTGGATGAATTTCTCTAGTTAAGGAGCACTCCGATTTCTTGTCCCTTGTTGTGGATCTTTATTCTAGACTGCAGTCAAAATCTAAAGATCTGTTGGAAGAGAGGAGGGGTGTGTGTGTTTGTGTGTGTGTGT